AATGATTGAGGTACAATGAGTTCAGTATTTGCGGCGATGCATTGTCACGTAGCCACGTGCCTACTGTCGTTAACAGCCCAGCATTCGTTGTTGGGGGAGGGGTCGTGTTTGATTCGATGATTGCTCGTTAGTCCGCACTCGAGTCGTTAATTGTCGAAATTGTACGACCGTTGTGGATTCTTGGCGTGATAATTGCACAGCCATTTGAGTCACTGTTACTGGAACCGTCGGCCGCCCGCACCGTCCCAAATGACTGCTTATCATAGCCAGGAAGATTTGTAGCACAGGATCTGATGGCGGGATGTTGTCACACTTGTTGATCAACTGCGGACTTTGGGAACCATGACTCAAGCCTTCCGCGTCTCACACGGTCCCCCCCTTTGTGAGAATAATGTCCTAGTCAAACTGGAAGCATTCGTCGCATGAGCGGCAGGCTACTGTCATTAACAGCCCAGCATTCGTTGTTGGGAAAGGTGTCGTGTTTGATGCGATGATGACTTCTGAAACGTTATTGACGTATGGGAGCGCTCGCCAAAAATTAAAAGTAGATTGTATTAGCTCTCTCAACCAGTTTGATTATGCAGTGGTTGACGAAGTTGCGCGGGTTGCCATTCTCCCCAAAGCAGCCGTAAAAGATGCTTTAATTCAGCGAATTCTTCTAGTCCACTGTAACGTTTCACAACACACCAATATAATGCCCTTACACAACCGCTCTTTTGATTGCTTGTGTAGTTACTGCTGAAGCTCAGTACTTGTGTCTTATCTGGCGCTTTTCCGAACATTTTGATTTCTAGGCCATCACAATCTCTGCCGTAGACCGGCACATCAAGGTATGTTAGCTGGTTGTCCTCTTCCTCTTCCATCGTAAATAGTACGTTCAGGAAGACCTTATTTAGACGTTGTTGAAATGTCAACATCTACTTTTGTTTGATGACGACAAAGGCGTCAGAATTTCGATCTGTGATGCCGGTAGACCAGCGAACTCGACCGTTGTAGAACCGCCTCAACTATGAGTCCCGAAATCGGCGGACCCACTGACGTGCCTCCCACCTACTCGTAGATTGCTCCGTCGAAGTTTGGGTACGTCTTGAGAGAGGATTTCAGGATTTGGAGTATCTAGGCGTGCCTGAGGGGATTACCCGTCTGGTCGTATCTGTTATGTAAGAGCAATGAAATGATCTCGACCGCCAGATTCCGTGTAATGAGAAGTTAGAAGGGACGTGACACCAAAGATATCACGATGCAGTTTGGCAGGCGACTTACACTCTTATGTTTTCCAAGCGTTGTTTTGACGAACTGACTGTGGTATCTCGATCAGTGGCCATGAATGCAGGATACTGAAACAGCCACATTGTCAGTCCGTAAGTTAGAATGAATCGGGAAGGAACGCCCTATCTGTGCGCTTTTAGTAGACAATAGAATCGGACCAAGGCCGTTGCCTGAACCCTCGCCACGCGTCGCTCGATTGATGACATTGCACCTGAGTTGTTCATTGGCGAAAACGTCGTATTGGTTTCAAATGTCGGCGTTTTTGCGTCCTCGTTTGACATGGGACAGAGAAATGCCGATCCTCCACAGAGCATTTAGCATTCTGAGGGAAGTCTGCACTGTCCATATACAACAGTGAAATTTCCCTCGTCTGCTGAGCTAACAAGGGAGTATTTGTCGACCCGTGACTGTGAGTCAAATGCTGGAGCATTTATCAAGCCAAGAATCCATGGCGGTCGCACAATTTCGGCAATTAACTGATCGGATGCGGACGGACGCGCAGTCATCGCATAAAACACAACCCCACCCACCACAACGAATGCGGAGGCTGTTGATCGTAGCAGACTCGTGGTTGCGTGACAATGCATCACGGAAAATACTGCACTCCTTGTACCTTCATCGTCCTCGTCTGCGACTGTCCCTGATGATTGGTCTGAGTTGTAATCCGAAACGTCAGGCGAGTAAATCTCCCGTTCCGGCGACAATAGAATCGGACCTAGGTCGTTCCCTGAGCCCTCGCCGTGCGTCGGTCTATTGGTGACATTACATTCTGTTGATATTTTTGCGTACTAATATTGGTCGAACGTACACATGGGAAAGGATATGTTGCTGTGTAAAATAGCCACATTTTACCGATGTCACCTCTAGCACCTGACGTGTCCTCTCTTTATTGGCGCTCCTTCGGGAACAAATTATTTTGTCAATTTTGGGTTGTCTACGAAGATGCCAAAAGCATATCCTAGTTTTAAGGTAACACCAGTAGATGACATTATGCTCATACTCTACATTTTTTACCGAAGGAGGTTTTATCGATGAACTTACATTCAAATATATGATCTCCAATTTTACAACTTGCGCACCAAATTGAGACTGGTTTGCGGATATAACTGTTGCTGCGTATTAATGTTCACTCACACTCATGTCTGGCAAACGACGTGTTTCTGCAATCTTAAAAATCGTATTCAAATTTATCCATCATTAAAAATACGATAGAACGTAGACTCAGCTTGGTAGTATTAACATATTTACGTTTATGTGTGGAGGACGTAAGTGGATTAAACTTGAACCTACAAAGCGCTTCTGAGTAGGTAGATATTTGAGATCACTATTAATTAGTAAGCCACAAACGCTTATTTGTACCCCCAAAGGTCATTCGATGGATAATTCTCGCAAAATTATTGGAGTTATTTCCAAAGCAAAAGGTGGTGGTGAATGGTGGCGGAATGGATGCCAGATTAAGTAGTTGCAAACGATGCAGATTCCGCGGGGAAATCTGGAGTTTCCATTCTACGTGGGGACAAGTGCTTTCTCAGGGCATGCCGCTGTTCATTCGATCCGTTAATCTTCCAGAAAATCAGCATGGCCCTCTTTACGACCCCAAGAATCAGTACATTGCAGTAGTATATTCAGGCATAAATGTTGGAAATTCAATTAAAATAGGAACCTCAAGGATTAGTACATGGTTGTAGGCGGCAGTTGAGTCCTGTGTCTTTGTGGTGGGGCCAGTTACGCTACAGTGATGACTGCTTCTGAAACACATTTTTGCTGAAAAACCTTAAAAAGTCTTGTGCCAATCTTCCCTGCGTATGATTTGAATGTAAAAGATGTTTTGCATGTTTGTCTGAACAACTCAATATCAGTTCTACCCCAGGCGTGCTCGTCAAGCTGGAAGCGGATGCATTACGTTTCTGGAGTGGAAGAGAGAACGTCAGTTGGAGACGTGTAGCGATATCCAAAAACTCTTTATTAAGACAGCTACCTAACGGATTTAAGTAGAGCATATTCGGTCAAGTGTTTGCGGAGTTCCGCAGTCTGCTGGGCTCTAATATCCAGCAAGCGCACGATCGTAACTCTCTCAATCGAGTGCCGAATGTTCCAAGGGCGGTCTGAATCGTAGGCTGAACACTGCATGAAGTGAACACTCATAGAATTCAAAGTACATGAACGGAAATCATGTAAGTGTCAGGAACCTGGTTTTCAATGCACCAGCCATCAAATAGCATACTTTTGCCAATAGTGTCATAATTATGGCAACTACTCTAGCCCACGCTTCTCCATTTGACATGGTCGTGTAAAATGGCAACTGAATGCAAATTATCTCTGTAGATCGGCCTCTCACAGGGCCGCCACCACCACCACCACCACCACCACCACCACCACCACCACCACCACCACCACCACCACCACCACCATCATCATCATCATCATCATCATCATCATCATCATCATTGAGTGAGACATTGAAATTTCTAGTGAGACAAGCAGACGCTCAAGATAATGATCGGCCGATTTCTCTTGTAACCGATGCAACCCAGGACAATAAAGACTGCCCGTTATAAGTCCAGAATTTGGTTGGTTTCCACTGGCTAACTAATAAATCGCAAATTCTGCTCACACCGTTTTACTGACACATTAGGCGGAAATTGAACACACAAGCTCCATGAGAAAATAGAGTGCAGAAACTCCTAATAGGAGGAAGATGTTGATATACACCTCATCAACAGGGCAGACAGAAGTGGCAATTATAAGAATCTGTGGAAAGCACTAGGAAAACTCATATCATGTATTTGTTTTATCACTTCGACGAGGCACCGGAACAGACAACGCAACCTGCAATATACGACTCAGAGGCATGTCAACGGGCGGAAAACAGGTAATCCATGGTTTTTAGGTGAGGAAGTCCTGATTGCCTGAGACGGTTTGCGGCAGGCAAACTTAACTCGGGCCACAACCTTAACCCTACTCCCAACCCTAACCTTTTTGCTAACCAGAACCTCTAGCATACTCACAAACCTAGCCTTAAGCCTTAACTATGAATGTAGTCATTTTCTCAAGCTTAACCATGTGTAAGAGACAAACCCACTAGTTGGGCACAGCGAGTAGGCTATCCAGGAAAGAAAAATAGCAGTATCCCAACAGTTGCAAACTAGTAAATAAGAACAAAGTCGTCGGCAGGTAAAAGTGCACGTGCGTGTTCTTTGTCTTATTCAAAGTTGTGTCAAAGCGTATTGTAACTGATTAAAACAAAACGGACTTAAATGTCACTACACATGTACGTAAATCTGGTATAATACGCCTACCAACATCGAATACTTAGGCGTATCATAGTAATCTAGCATGGATTTGCATATCCAACCATCACCACACTATGCTACAGAATTTTCAGCCCCCCTGTGATCCGACCACCAATTCACACATCTGGCGTGGTTGAATACGGAGAAGTTCACTGCAGCCCAATTTCCATCCTAGACCATGACTCGGTGATCGATTATGAAGTCTGCCGATGGGCGGATTGGCACTCAAGTTGACCCCAGCAGGTTATATGGCTTCAGGCGAGGACTGCTGGACACAAGTTTTGACCTCATGTTCCCTGTTTATGATGGTCTCGCAAACGCCGGTTAAAAAGGTTGGATTAGACCTTTTTTCGTGAAATGTACACCTAAATATCAGGCTTAAGTCCTCAGCTGGCTTCCCATTAGCCACGATTCTTCGTCTCTATCAAAGTTAAAACTGGTGCGTTGCTCGTGACATTTCGTAAACCAGCTTCTGTTATTCCCAACCCTTTACATTGTTTACAGTGGTGAAATCATCTCTTCATGTTGCTGTCTTTAATTGGGACTGTTGCCGTTTGAATGGGTGACTCGACCTCCGTCAGAAGTGAGGGTGCAATGAGGCTAACTTAAGCATTAATCTATTCCTCCCTTATTCGCACGGACTAGAGAGGTCGGGTATCGATGACCGGTTTATGCGGAGCTGGGAATCAGCATATGTGAGCAGAACAAAGAGGTGGCTTTGTCCGCAGCAAGCTCCTTTTTTTTAAAAAAATCTGCGGTTTCATTTTTAATGTGGTATTTGCAGCGTGAGACGAGTTCAGACGGTTTGCATATACCGTGAAGACTTGGAGCTCTCGCTTTATGTGAGGCAATGGCGCCACCAGAGAACTCGAACGTCAACGCCACCGACGATATGGCATTCTCTGCCATACATCAAGGGTGTTTCAGAAGCGACCGAGCGCATTGCTGCGGAGCTAGGTGTTGGAGTTGCACACAACCCCAAGGCCACCATGCGCCATAGGGTCATGAAAAGCAAAGAGCGGTTAAAGCCTGAAGAACAATCTGGAGTAGTGTATCGCATCCCATGTAAAAATTGTCCTTGTAACTACACAGGACAGCGATGGACTCCTGTACGAGTCTGAAAGCTCAGGACAATAAACAAAGTGTTCCGATGCTTGACACTTCTTCTTTACTTAATGGCGCTAGTTTTAGTCGATTTACACCCAAGATTTGCTTCCTTAAAATCAGTCTAACTGTGTAAACAGGTCTCAGAAATGTTTTGCAGTAAAATTTCCTGGCATATTCCATGGCGCCAAGTGACTGCCGTAAATGCACGCTGGAAACGCCTGTTGAAGCCTGTTGACTACGTATGCGCTAGCGGTGGAAGCATGTGCGCAGCCTTTCGGATTAGTCCTATCGTTGAGTGGCTGCATTGGAAACAAAAGCCAATATCAATCATTGTTTTGAACGTTGCGCTCATTTTTGTGCAGCTTAGGGACCTAGTGGAGACGCCTTGATTCCCTACGTGAACAGTTAGGTAAGTATGTTGAAATCCGTTGAATTTGGATGTGCACATGTGGATTTAAATTTTAGCCGTAGTTCATATTGGGATTTAAAATAGCGAGTGTAGTAGCGGTCACGTATACATATAGGCAAAATATAGCACGGCAGTCCCCTATAGGCCACCTGTATTTACAATGCCGCCTGTTGTAACGTTAGACTTCTCACTTATTGCAGATCCTGAGCTGACTCAAATCTAGTACTCACAGTGCGTGGCCGATCTCATGAAGTGTTGGCCGAGATTTTGAAATGCGCTTCCGATTAGGAAGGATTACTAAAGTGGGGTTGTTATACTGATTATCATGCACCCTTTAACATTTCGGGCTTGCCAGGATGTCAGCTTTTGAATGCACTTCTTTTTGACCTCCTGCAGAAACCACAGTCGGTAAAAATGACAACTTAAGTAGATTGCATTTTTCCAATTGATTTTTGATGGTCTTATAAATTCAACTATGTTTTACAGAAAACATGCACAAAGCTATGCTTTTTCTTGCTCACTTGGAAGGAAATCACATTATCTTCATAGTTTATGCCCGAAGAAAGTGTGCATTTAGATTTTAAAAAAGTTTCCCAATTCCTGAATAATGTTCAGCCTGATCTGCCATTGTATCAGTGTTTAGCAATTTCAGTCTACAAGGTGCATGCTTTCCGCTTAAGGAGAATTATATACCATATCATATATCCTATACAATATTACAATGAGTGACCGATCTCATAAAATGTTGGCCGAAATTCTGAAATGCGTTCCCGATTAGAAAGGACTACTTAGGTGGGGTTGTAGTACTGATTATCATGCGACATAATTATATAATATTTCGAACTCGTCAGGATGTCGGCTTCTGAATGCACTTCTTTTCGTCTTCCTGCAGAAACCTCACTCGGTAAAAATTGATTAGTTATGTAGCATGCATTTTGTACATTGATTTTCGATGGTCTTGCAAATTCAAATATATTTTATAGAAAACGTGCACAAAATATGCTTTATTTTACTTGTTTAGTAGAAAATTACATTGTCTTTGCATTTTGTGCCCGAGAAAAATTTATATTTAGGTTTCAAAAAAGTTTTAAATTATGAGATTTTTAAGATCACGCGATGCCCATTCATACAAAATCGCATATGCACTTTTACCAGTGCTCCTCACGAAATGTGCAACACAGTCCGCACCCACTGCAAAATTTTGTGAACTTTATATGGTATCTTCTTAAAAATATGGACAAATATATGATTTGAATTTCATGGAAAGCATACACCTTGTAGACTGAAACGGCCGACCAGGATCAAATTAACTTGGGAATTGGGAAGCTTTTAGAAACCTAAATATACCCTCTCTTCGAGTATAAAATATAAAGACAACGTAATTCTCTACTCAACAAGTGAGAGAAAGCATATTTTATGCATGTTTTCTATAAAATATATTTGAATTTGCAAGACCATCGAAAATCAATAGAAAAAGTGCATGCTACTTAATTAGTCAATTTTTACCGAGTGCGGTTTTCGCAGGAGAACAAAAAGAAGTGCATTCAGAAGCCGACATCCCAGCGAGTCCTAAATACTGCAGGATTATGTCGCAAGAAAATCAATATTCCAATCCCACCTACGTAATTCTTCCTAATCGAAAATGCGTTTCAGAATTTCGGCCAACATTCCATGAGATCGGTCACGCACTGTATTCGACGCCATCATCCTTTTGATTTCGATTAACTGCGTTTTAGCATCAATGCTCGGCATCGCTGTTCTTCTGATACATACTGCCTCCGTACTGAGTACGTTTATTTGCAACAGCTTTACTGTGAGGCCAGAAGTCCTAAACATCCTTTTGACTTGATCCCATATGTCTTTAATTCTCACACAGGCTCAGATGAGTTCAATTTCCCAACAAAGCCGAACACGGACTTTCTTGTTCTGCAACCATTTTCACAAAAACCACTGGTGGGTTTTATTCCTATTGGATCTTTGCAGCGAACATTAAACCTTGATAATCAATGGGGTATTTTTTCCTGCAGTCGCTTTCTCTGGGAAAAAAGTCTGTTCCAGAGGGCAACGTCTCGCAGCCCTGCACAACCGGAACATCCTGCTGGCAAGCTCTAAGTGGTAGGATACATTTAATGCAGACGGAACTGCCTTTCACATCAGGATTCCGAGCTCGCATCTGATAGTTCTGTTACGACTTTCATGTTAAATCAATTCTTCGCATTATTGTCGTCATATAATGTTTTTTCCGTCTTTCAGACAGGCAGTTTGCAATTATTTTGGTGGGGTCGGCGTCTGGAACCGGAATTCTGTATGCATCTCCACTGGACAGAGACAAATCTTCTTCTGCAATCATTATCAAGAACACAGACGATGACTCGACGGGTACGTTTAGACTGCTTGCTCGTAGCTCAGGTGTCTAGAGCGTTGGTTGTACCCAAAGCCTTCCCCTTGCTGACGTGGGTTAGAATTCCACCTAGGCGCCGAATTTTTCATAGTCAGATCAATATGAATTACTTAAAATCTCTCAAAACATATACAGCAGGTGACCTAACTCATGAAAGGTGTCGTAATGTACGAATGACTTCCAATCACTCGCAAATCGACGCCATTACATGAATCTAATGTCTATTTTCATTAAGTACAAGTTTGAACGAATTGAAAACATAACAGAAATGTTAAACGCAGTGTAGCGTTGTTTAGGAATGCCGATTTTGTTTAAAAAAGCGCAATATCCTGAAAACGTCAGAAATGGCTGTAATTTAGTAAGCTTCGTTTTCAGACGTATAGAATGTATTCTAATACTAAAAACTGGAAATAACCATTCCGTGGTCATTTGTGTGACATCACGTAAAAGTTTCCAAACGGCAAAACAATCTTAGCCCATTTAAACGAAGGAATCGCTATCTGCGTTATTACTACACTTTAAGTCACCAAAGTGCACAGATCTGCTAATATGACTTTCAAGAACTGATACAACATCTAGTTTTCTTAAAACAACCTTTGCGTTAGCAATTTGATTACCACGGTTAGCATCGGACATAACATGAATGTTCAAGTCCGGCTAAATCTGTTTATTAAAACTCTTGCGGGTAGGTTAATTTTCTTTTAATGAAAAATCCGCTCAGATGCGTAATCAGAGGCTAAGACACGAATATATTGTAACGTCATTTTTGCTAAAATTTATTAATATTTTGCTTGATATAATTACATAAACACAATTTCTGCACAAGAAAAAGACATTTCATTAAAGCATGTGATAAGCACGCAAAACGAGCAACGTTAAAGACGTCAAGAGATTCTCCAGTCAGTTTCCGTTATCAGGTTTCACGAGCTGGGTCACGTACTGTATGAATTACGTGAACCCGGTAGTCATCTGGTGGATTCTAGGTGAATTTACTAAGAAATCCTGCTTGGACAGCCAGCCTAATGTATCCAGATGTTGTAGAAGGTTAAGCCGGTAACTTGACCTAATGTGATTAATATCATGTCTCCCAGTGGAGGCTTGGCTGTACTAAAGCCTCCCCCTATTGTGGGTTGGAATCCCACCGAGTCATCAATTTTTCTACAGTTGTGTCAATATGACCGAAAAATGTTTGATGACGAGGTAAACATTCAAGAGAAGTTAAGCTGTATTTTCTTCCAAAATAAAGCTTTCCTAAATAGGAAATGTGAAGTTGCAGACACGAATGCGAACCGTTTTCCGAACAGGCCTGATGACACGATAAAATTATGCGTTTCCGTCTCCCTCGCGCATTTTACTCAGATAGGCGTTAGTTTAAACGTTATATCCTCATGGCTGATGGTAGGCTGACAGTAGAAACGGGTAATTCAAGCCCGCCGATGCCAGTGTCAGCATAGCCCTTACCTTAACGTTGGCGCATAGATAAATGAACGTCAGAACTGAAAAAAATGAGATTAAATAACAGCCCTGCTGGGTTTTGTTGAGGATGGAAAATGATGATGGTTTACTCACGAGGCAGAATTTTAGATGCGTTGCGCTCTTCTGTTATTAATTGTCATTCAGATTGCAATCTAACCCACGTGCTGCTCCATGCAGACTTACCCTTGCCAAATGACGTTGGCAGCATTGTAAAACTTGAACTGAACGACACAGCAGGGACCGTGATACTACTACTATACGCTGAAGAAGTTGGGGTATGTGTAGATGCTTGAATCTAAATATAATTTCGCTTATTTTGTAAATTCCACTTTGATTTTGCTGACCCTTCCTCGTAAGTGTTTTCACTTTTATTACTCACATTTGGTCTACTTGTTTCAGAACACAACTGCTGATGGAAACATACGATACATTGACGAGCACGGCGGATCTGCGGACAGACATGTTTTGGTCATTCCTTACCGTAGGTCTCCATTTGATATTGTGAACGTCACAGTACTTTGAGCAGAAAGGGTGACTTGCATCATTATTGCGTTTCTTTAGACCAGCATCCATTTTCGCACAGTAAATACAGAAAAGAGACATTAACTTCAATGGAATAGATGCCGGAAACAAATATTAAGAAAATTAGCTGGATCTGCTGAGAGGAAACCTTGACATGCATAATGGTATAGACGTTAAGCAAAGTTAGGATAAAGTAGATACACATTAGATATTTCTTTAAAAAATAAACATTCCATATACAATATCATTTCACATGATAGCCCAATTATGGTGCCAAATTCACGAAACAAAATGAGTTATGTTTTGTTAGAGTATGCTGCCAAAGTCCCTTTTATCTCTGTCATTGTCACACTCTGAGTAATATCCCATTCCGATTTGAGCAAAATTTGTTACATTTCCCAAACCAATAGTTGCCAAGGAATTAGAAGGAAAGGTCACAGTTTTGCTGACAGGACACGTGGAAAATTCGGTATTAGAATACGTGCTTCATTTCTCGGAGGGAAAATCTGCCACGGTTAGGATTGATCCGATGGAGGGTCCTCCAGTGAACAAATTATTTCTTGTTCCCTTCAGTGGTAAGTGCGCTGTGAAACGTTAAACAATTCTAATTTGTGGATTGAATTTTTGTGTTTGAAGTTCCAGTATTACATGGGTTGGTGGGATAACTCAGGAAATGTCAACCGGAATTCCGGAATGCGTTTTCATTTTAAAAAGATTAGTAAAGTATGGTTGTGAAACTAATTATCTTGCAGCAAAATTCTATAATAATTCAGTTACTCCAAGATGCCGGCTTTTGAGTGAGCTCCGTTCCGGCAGCATGCAAAAGCTATACGCTGTAAAAATAACTACATAAGTAGCATGAATTTTTATCTTTACGTTTCGATGCCTTTAGAAATTAAATTATCTTTCATGGAGAACATACTAATTTGGTAGAAACTTATGCCTTCTTCTAATTTTTGACTCGACAAAAGGGTATAATTCGGCTTTCAAAAATTTGTAATTGTGAGATCTTTTAATACCATGAAATGATCATTCATAAAACGTCATGTCTCTGCGTTTACCAATGTGGCTTGTTAAGTTGGCAATATGGCTCAAATCTACTGCTAAATTTTATGAACGCCATATAGTCTCCTCTTAGTACCGTAGAGGAACGTATGGTTTTCATATGCGGAAAATATACGGCTTCTTGTCTGGAAAGTCTGAATGCAAGTATAACGGCAGGTCGGGTTCAAGAGTATTCGGAAATTGGAAAAGTTTTTGAAAACTGAGTTATACCCTTCCTTCGAGTATAAAATTGGAAGAAGAAGTCATTTTCTATCAAGTGAGTGATGGAATCAATATTTTAATGCATGTTTTCCATAAAATATAATTGAATTTATAAGGGCATCGAAAATCAATGTAAAAAATTCATGCCACTGAAGTAGCATCTTCAGCATCATCCCAAACACAATCCAATCCATCGGTCTAGATTTACTGAAATACCTGCAGATCAACGCATTGTTTAACCCATCATGCCCTTTCATATACCTTTTTCAGGCAGTCCGCCAAATTCCCCGGAATTAAAGTGATGCCTTGAGTCTGGGACCATTCACGAATAATATTGTACTCGTAAAGTTGTCTTTTTTTAATTAACAGACCTGTAAACCATATGTTCTTTGCTTTATCAGCTGATTTCACCTGGCATTATAATTTTGGTTCTTTTATCACCGCGTTTTTTGAATCTACCACCGCAGTAGAGCACTGCGAGGGAAAACAGTCAAGATTGTAATTTTTCCTGACGGCTATTTGATTATTATTATTAGTATTGTCAATATCAGATACCTGACGCACCTAAAAGTATAATGTCCCAACTCGTCATGCGCATTTCTTCTGAAAATCTCTTCCATTCGGGGGAGATGATGAGTTAGGTCGCTACGATCTCGCTGAACTAAGACAACCAGATGACGAAAATACGATTTTCTCCTATTTCCATAATTCGAAAGTCAACGTCTCTTACAGTCATTGGCTGATCCCACAAAGAGTTGACCGAAATTCTGAAATGTATCTTGAATTAAGGAGGGCCACTCAGATGGGGTTGAACCATAGATTATCGTGCAGCATAACTCTGATATGTCGGCTTTCGAATGCACTTCTGCTCAGCTCCCTGGAAAAACCAAATTCCATAAAAGTGGCCACTTTATTACTATGTTGTTTCCCTATTTTTTTTCGCTGCTCCTTTAAATTCAAATATGCTTAATGGAGATTGTGGTCAAAGTATGCTTTCTTATGCACATTAGGCAGGAAAGTCACACATTCTTTAAATTTTGCACTCTAAGAAGGGATATTTATCGGTTTTCAAATAGGTTGTAGTCGTGGGAATTGTTAAGAACCACTTTCCGTTTATTAATGCTCCTTGTAAAGTATACAATTTAGTGCACATACATTGCGTAATTTCATGAACTCCATATAGCAGTTTCCTAATGACATGGATGAATGTGTGGTTTCTATCACACGAAAGTATAAAACCTATAGATCCCAAATGAAAATGTAACGACATTTCAGGCTCAAACTTATTCGGCAAGGGATAGACTTTAAACTAAAACATACCATTTCTTCGAGTATAAAGTGCGAAGAAGACGTTATGTGATACCAAATGAGCACGAAAGGAAGACTTTTGATTTTTTCCCACAAAGTGCATTTGAGTCTATGAGGGTATCGGAGATCAATGAAAAGGGAGCGCAGTGTTTCAGTAGTCAGTTTTTGCCTATTGAGAATATTGCAGACAATCGAAAGGGAACACATTAAAAAGGCAGCATCTTGACACGGCTAAAACATCCTGCTGTACGAAAAAAGTACAACGGTGACTAAGTAATCCTTTCTAATCGAAAGCGCATTCCATGAGATCATCCCCACCCACTACAACCACAATTCCTGTATTACAGGTAACGCCTGACGTCTCGCCTAGTGTGAACACAGGCATATTACTTAAGACTCAGTCTGTACAAAGTGCTCAGAATCACGCGTATTAACTTTTACGAGCTCCAGATAAGTCGAACACCAATCCAATAGGCCAAACGCATTTTGCAAAATGTGGGGTACATGGTCGCACATAGGACTGGGCCCCGCATGCGGGAAACATCTAGGCTCAATCAGGTAAGAGAGCATCAGACGCTCTGAAAGACTGTACTTTTTATAAGACAGGGGAATAGAAACTCCCTCGTAATGCAGCCAACCCTGCGCCAAATTTCAGGAAGAGTACCTATCCCCTTGCCCTAACCCAAGCCTTAGCTCTACTTTAGCTCTAACCTTAGCTTTACTTCTAGCCTTACTCCCCCTGGAATTTTACGGGAGGTCACAGGATTCCTACTCCCATGCTATACTGTTGTAAATCTGTTAAACCATTGAGCTTACTTGGTTGTGCACTTTCATGCTTATTCACAGTCCCCCCAGTACAGTTCCGTAGACAAGCAATTGCTCGACTTCCGTGGACAATGCAGTGGGCCTTACCTCGTTACAGAGAATCCCTCAGATCCACAATGGATCGAAATTTTTCGGCTTGACGTCGACGGGCTATGATGATTTCCCACGGCCTGAAAAGTGCAGAAGGCTGTTTCGCATTAGATGTGTCATATTTAACTATTACCTTAATGATGTTGCAAAGAAGCACCTAAGTGGAAAACGATTTCAAGATAATTCCAAAGGTTATGCCGGTTGGGCTTTGCTTGAGTAGAACTACCTGTTGATTTTCCTGCTAGCACCCATCCACATCTTAAAGAATGAGACAAGCTAGGATGGACGAGACAATTGCCCAATGCGGGTGGTTGTGCATACTTTATTTCCAATACAACCAACTGCATGATTTTGCAGTACACATCGCCTCCGTATCTTCCTCGAATGGAGCACTTTGTGAAAATGTGTACAAGTATCTGTGAGCTAGTATTCAGAATTCCAGTCGCCAACGGAAACAGACTGAAGTGCATAGTAGCTCTCGATTGGTTTTGGACCTTTCGCCATTCTGAACTGATGCTATAAAAGTCACCTTGACACACTTCGGTGGCATTCTTCGTCTAGTTGTCTACCTGATCCAGATAAGTCGCGTCCTCCGCGCTTGTCCTGGTGGTGGCGGATGACGATCATGAATCATTTGATGTGTTATAATGAAGGCACTTGTTTGAAAATTGAGCTTACGTCCCCTCTTAGGTTCGGACTGCACTACAAATGGTGCAAGTAAATGGCTCCACATTATTCGTTTTCAGAGAACCGGGATGGATTAGATCACCTGCGGAAATCCCCACCTTTTGATCACGTCCTCTCCCGTATTACATATTCCCGCAACGTGTCACGAGCTAGGGGGTGGAAGACCAACCTGTTTATTGTAAATAGTGTAAAGTGAACGTATCTCCTTGAAATGACGCCCACCTGAGAAAAGGGAACAAATTTTCCCTTGGGCTCGGGCTAAACTTATTGCATTGTGACGTAAATGGTAATGTCCTAACGAACTATATCTCTTGACCCCTCAGCATTAAAAACAGCAAGTAAAATCGACCGGTGAATAATATAGAAAGTCTGAACGTTAAGTAACCTGACAACAGAGCGCAACAGCTAAGCAAGCCAGCAAAGCGGGTTGTTCAGGTGTGTTGTTTTTTGTCGCATTCAAACAAGCAATCCGGGCAGAGAAAACGGGACTAAATTGTCAAAGGTATGCATGTGAGTGTACTTCAGAAAAATTAAATATTAATTGGCAAGACGAATTGATCCCTGTTTTGATTCGTGCACACACAAGTGGATGAGCAGATGCTCAACAGAAATGAGCAAAGACAATTCTATCTGTAACGCGCCTGTTTCCTATCAAGCGACTTCCCTCACCTTCCTCTAAATGGTGGACTTAAGAGTGCACTTGCACTTATGACAGACATCCGACATGAGGCTATGTGGCTGGAAATGTTATCGCAAAACAAGGTTGGTCAGAGTTGTTTATGAAAACAAGTTCCTTTCATGGAGAAGAGGAGATTGCGGCTGAAACGGATTTATAAACTTTATGTACTCCCCGCGGAATCGCCTTACGGAGAATCGGATCCGCAAGTGATCAAAAGTTATACCAGTCGTGTCAAGGCATTTCGGCATATAGGAAGGATAATTTCGGTAGTCTCTGTCTTCAATGAGCACAAGTTGCATGTTTCTAAGTGCCATGAAAAACTAAAACCAGAAAAACCTGACATATTTGATGGAAGAACGTCCGTCATTACCCAACAAGTAAACGATGAGTCCCGGGTCACAGTTGTAAGAACGGTAGCATATCACGGGAAAAAATAATTTTATGGGTTCGGAGTTTTGAATCTCCCTTCGAAGCCACTAGTAAAGGCAGCAGCAGCAGCAGCAGCAGCAGCAGCAGCAGCAGCAGCAGCAGCAGCAGCAGCAGCAGCAGCAGCAGCAGCAGCAGCAGCAGCAGCAGCAGCAGCAGCAGCAGCAGCAGCAGCAGCAGCAGCAGCAGCAGCAGCAGCAGCAGCAGCAGCAGCAGCAGTAGCAGCAGCAGCAGCAGCAGCAGCAGCAGCAATAGGTAGTGGTGCGAAAGTCACTATCAGACATAAAATAACGAGGCAACGAGTCACTGGAATCTTCCTCCGAACCCGGTTCCTTTGTGGTAACAACGTCAGTTTGCTATTGCTACGTACATTATCAAAGCGGAACCGCCAAGCCCAGGTATGTGCAAACGTTGGCGAGGTGCTGGTTGATTACTGCCGCCCATTCAGGTCGAGCGAAGGCTGTGTGAGAGAGAGGGCATAGTTCTTAAGGGAGCAACAAAAAGTTATCTCTATCAGTTAGGTCTCTTAGAGGCATTATTTTAACGGTCTCTGCCCTCAATGAGCGAAATTTGTGCATTTCTAAGCGTCATGCTAAATTAGCACCAGACAAACCTGACACGTGTGATGGAGGTACGTCCATAGGTACCCAGCAAGTAAGCGTTGAGTTCCAGGTTACAGTCGTCAAAAGTCGCCTCTTCGCTTCTTCTAGTACAGACAAGCCTGTTTTGCTGTGTAGAGCTAGAACCTGAATGTAATAAAATTTAGTTCGTTAATAATTGTGCGTGGAATGCCTAAAACTGCGGCAGAAGGTATGCAGTAAAGTGCTTGAATGAAAACTTACGGTGCTTTAGAGCAATTTTGATCGCTGAGAGGAAACTAAGGGGGGGAGGGAGGGAAGTGCAAAAATGGCAGGATGTTAGACTTGGAAAACGACGATTTTACCTATCTAAAGCAGCGTTATCAGAGAGCAAAAAAGATACTTTAGAGTTAGAAGATACCATACTAGCAGCACAAGTACTCGCTAAATGCCCAGACACGGGGGTCTCGTCCATATTCTGCCGCCGAATAGTACAACCGCGAGGGGTTCTGCTATTCATTGGGTCTCCCAGCACTCTCCATATGCTTTCTGGTAGATACTCCAGTCTACGAATCATTGATTTGAATCTCCCCAGCAATTAACTGCGAAGTTAGAGTAGCTCAGTATGTACTAAGGTCTGGAGGCGGTCTGCATTTATAGATCTTAGTTTATACTGACCTTCACCAAGCTCGCAGTTAATTTCTGAGGAAATTAAAGCATTGCAAAAGTACCTTTTGATTATTGCCGCCCATTCACGTCGAACGAGGACAGAGAGAGAAATGGGGAATGACTCTTAAAGTAATGGCCAGAGGTTCTCTCGCGTATTGATCTAGGGTCACACATTGACCTGATCGCGGTTCCGTGACGAAAAACATTTTAAACTTTTTTCCAGTCAGCGTATTTTTTAATATGCCTTTCGTGTGCGCCGAAACACTTATCCACTGAAGGCTTTGGATGACGCAGCTCTAACTTTTTCTGGTCATATTTCCTAATGCTTGAGAACGTGATCACCGGTTTGTGAAAGCTTAGGGGTATGTACGCCGTCGGAAGTGTATATAGGCAAATATAAATGCTTGTTCTCGTACCAACACTTGAATACTGCATTTGGTTTGTGGAGGTCAAGGATGTTAAATAAACTTTGACGCGCACAATAAGGCCATTCCGTCTGATGTCAGAGGTCAGGGAGCTGTGAGAACTGGTTTATTTTTATACACAATTTGGTATCTCTTTAGCCATCCCGAATATCCCTTTTGAAGGAGTGGTCGCACGCATTCGCCAGCTTCCTAACATGAGCGGTCCTCCTCAAAATCGTCTGTGAATAATTTTGAAAGAGGATTGACGCAGTTGGAATCCAGACGCTTCCGTTTTTGGAGCTCATATTTGACGTTGAAGTAGGATCGCATGAATGGAATAACAGCGCAAAGGAAAAGACATGAAAGGTACGAATCAGTTGGCTAACCACTGGTATGAACGAAATTAACGAATAAAGTGAGAATTTGACTTGCCTACGTGTGGGCTGTCGGCAATTCACGGTGCGTCCCCTTGACATGCGGCGTAGGGCCACCTCCACCAGGGTGTGGTATTATTAGGAGCTTTTGCAGGTGTAAGCTTTCAACGAAGGTGTTGGGTTCTGCGCTATGCAAACAGGAAAAAAGCATTTGTGGCACCACTATTAACTTCAGTAGGCGGGCCAAAGTTCGCCCACCTAGGTCTAGGGTTAAGATTGGGAGTTAGGGGTTAGGAGATTGGAATTAGGGTTCGGGCTATAATTGAATTTAGGATTAGGGCTATGAAATGTTGTGGTCTAAATGCTGGGTTGAATATAATGCTTTATGTTCAAAACTAACCATCTTGATAGGGCCGAGTAGCCTTATTCTAGGATGAATTGTCTACTTTATCAGTTGCAGTAGACATGCGATTTAGTGTGACTTATTGCTCAATAACTTTGGGTTGATATATTCTAAGAAGTGCAGGACCAATAAGAGGATCAGATCAGGGTACGGCACGTGTTAAGGGGCTGCGCACCTACAGTGCGTGACTGATTTCATTAAATGTTGGCCAAAATTCTGGAATAAGTTTCCTATTAGGAAGGATTACTTAGGTGGAGTTGTTATACTGATTATCATACAGCATAACCCTATATTATTTCGGAGTCGCCAGGATGTCGGCTTTCGAATGCGCTTCTTTATGATCTCCTGCAGAAACCATACTCGGTAAAAAAATGACTGCTTAAGTAGAATGCATTTTTCCTATTGATCTGTCATGGTCTTATAAATTCAAATATATTTTATAGAGAACATTCTTAAAAATGTGCTCTCATTTGCTTATTTGGTAGGAAATCACATTTGCTTCATAGTTCATGCCCAAAGAAAGTGGATATTTTGGTTTTAAACAAGTTTCTAATTATGAGATTTTTAAGACCGTGCGATGCCCATGCATACAGGACTGCACATGTCCGTTTGCGAATGCTCCTCATGCAATGTACAGCACACTCCGGACTCATTACAAAATTTCATGAACTCTATGTGGTCTCTTCTTAAATGCACAGAGGAATATATGATTTTCCTTACGCGGAAAGCATGCAGCTTGTAGACTGAAATTGCTGAACGCTGATGCAATGGCAGATCAGGCTGAAAATTATTCTGGAATTGGAGAACTTTTTTGAAACCTAAACAGACACTTTCTTCGGGCATAAAATATGAAGACAATGTGCTTCCCTACCAAATGAGCAAAAGAAAGCACAATTTTGTGCATGTTTTCTGTAGAATATTTTTGAATTTATGACTATCAAAAATCCAATGGAAAATGCATGCTACTTAAGTAGTCATTTTTTCCCGAAAGTGGTTTCTGCAGGAGGTCAAAAAGAAGCGCATTCAAAAGTCGACATCCTGGCGAGTCCGAAATATTATAGGGTTGTGTTGCATGATAATCAGTATAACAAGCCCACTTAAGTAATCCTTCCTAATCGGAAACGCGTTCCAGAATTTCGGCCAACATTTAATGAGATCGGTCACGCACTGTATTTAAAACGCAATATACGGAGATGTGACGGTACGCCTAGGCTCAGGCTCAAGCCGCACAATCTAACTGTGCCCCACTTCGCGTCCGGTCTGACTGACATTGTCTTACCATCATGCTCCGGAAGTTGAGGGTGGAGAGAGTGTCGCTGATGCATTGCAAGTCGACTATCCTTGCCAGCTGATTCACAATCAAGACGAGGACAGTTCGACCGTCGTGTGTCCAACGATGTTTACCGTGCGTTCCACAGCAAGGTAAGGGCAGGCACGATGACTTGTGCGTGAATTAGTTTATAACGAGAATAGACCTGCCCAGTATCTACCGCACTCTCTCCTCCTCCCCACCTGTCTCTGGCGTCAAGGCAAAGGACGCAGGTGACTGGCAAGGCCGGGTCCGCACCCCGGCGCTCCAATCCACACCCCCTGGTCCACCACAAATATTTTAACAGGATTTTAGCCAACAACTAAACAACAGTGGGTCAGAGGACAGCCATGATCACGACCTGCACACCCAGCGGGAGCACGAGCGCATTGCGCGGCAGGGAATCAGGTGCCAGAGAACTGCCAACGCACATCAGGCTGCAAGAGTCATGGTCTGCTGAATAGAAGATGTCAAATCAAGACACCGATCCTGCTCTCACCATGCAGGTGGACGCCTTCAGTTACAACAGCCGAATTGTCATTCGTCGACAAACTGACATTCCCTGTAGAGCTGCGTTCAGCATATTAAGAGGGCACAAAAGTAGGGCATACTTTATACACGAATGACACTTCGTATTGTGCGCGTATTTCATCAAAATACTATAAGCGCGACCCGGATCAGAAGGGTAGGTTTTAAATGTCAGGATTTGTGAAATCCAGCCAGCAATAATATACCTGCGAATATGCTACGGTTTCCATAACTTCATACGGAGTCCTCCGGCCTGTTGATTATTGGGACGCTTCATTATGCTGATTTACCGTTGTTTCTGATGAAAAGGCCTGAAGTCCCCTTCGGCGGACTGAGTCGGTCTACGAAGACATTTTACGAACAAATTTGAACAAATCAGCAAACCAAAGAGCATTTATGGAAACGAAGATCGTCAGGCCGAATGCAATCTTTGTGCATAATTATTAGATGCGTTGGAATACATATCCCCTCATTTCAAAATTATTTCACATCCTTTGAGTATATTTCTGTCCCATATTCCTTCACATATCGTCATGGCAACACGTTTCGCGATCTAAGACACTCCCACACAGGTATTTGTTAAACGCTACATATCATCCCACGTTCCTTTTCAAAGTCCAATTTCCAACCTCACACCTAGCGGAGGAGAAAAAACAACGTTCTCACTGAACACTTTTAGTTTAGCCTAAGCAGGTCTATAAAATGCGTAAACTCTGCCTAGTGGGATGTAAGTGTCCTAAGCCATGCGGTGGTATTTTTGCGTCTGCATACTTGTCGCTGCCAAAGCAGAGGAGTACTGCGAGGCAGTGGGATTTAAAGTGTCATCTCCTCGTTGCAGTCGGTCGGAACCTGCAGAAACATATGCTGAATGCAAAAGTCTATGCGAATCCGAACACTGCGACATGACCTTTTACGAAACGGAGAAGGCAGGTTTGCGTCTGCGTTTTGGACTCTGGCTCACAGTACCAACAAGTTAATAAGTAGTATTGTTGTGAAAGCAATTATGTCTATATGACTACACAAGATACTAGGAGTAAACAAAGTGCATTTTGTGAGAATGAAAAATCAGCTTTAAGAACAAATTTTAAGGCAGGACTTACAGTAGGTGTGCTTACTCATGAAATACTAACCGAAATTCTAAACTGCGTTTTCGTTTCGAAAATATTATTTACGTAGGGTTCTAACATTAATCATCACGCAGCATGATTCCATAATAATTCAGTTACCTCAAGATGCTGACCTTTGAAGGAAGATCTTTCCAGCCACACGCAAAAACCACACTCTGGAAAAATACTACACAAGTAGCATGCATTTTTCTCCTTTAGTTTCGACGCCCTCATAAATTAAATCATATTTCACGGAAAACATGCATAAAA